ATGTTTTTCAATTTTAAGAATCAATTAGTCTGGATTTTGTGTGTCAACTTTTTTTTTCCTATTTGTAAGTTTGTTTTCTTGTTTGTTTAGTTTTCTTTCCCTTCTCTTCCTTCTTTTCTTCTTTCTTCATTCCTTGTCTTTCTTCCTTAAAAACTATTTTTTTTCCTTTATTTAAAAAATGTGGGGTACAATTCAGGGTAAGGTATACAAATGTTCAGTATGCAGGCACCCTTGTTGATGAGGTGTGCCTCTCCCTAATCATACCCAAGTTTGTCAACAAAGTAATAAAACCTAAAAAACAAAAATGATGATTATCTCTGCCTCTTCTCCTTTTATACCTTATCTTGTTTACAAGACAGAAGAAACACAAGTCACATCTTTTGGGCTAACTGGTAGGTAAGGCCCAATAAGATCTCTTTGAGTGGGATATGTTTCTACCTAAATTCCCAGAGGCCCGTCTTTCTAATCCATGCCACAGAGTGATTAAGACCAGGAAAGCAGAGGGTAGAACAAAAGGGAGGCTGAGGGTGCCTTGGGATCCTTTCTCTGTGGGCTCATCCACTAAGGTTCCCAAAACAAATATCCTCCCATAAGGTTCCTTTTCTAGTGGAATCAAGGAGAAAATTGGACAATTAGTCCAAGTTTGATGTATATCTTTAACTGTAAATTGCCAGTTATGCTTTCTACTCCCTAGAGGCTTCCCCTTAGTTAGTTGTACTCTTCAATTCATAGATTTGGGGCTGGCCAACAGAATTGAGTTTGTATTTACAGCTTTTCTTCTTGATGTCTGAGAAATGTCTAGGATCTTGGAAGCTTGTTTTTAGGTCCTGAAATGAGAATCTTATGACACATTTCCCCACCAAACATCAGACCATACACACAGGCAAGGTCAGTATTAGGTATGAAATGGGTCTTTTTTTCTCTCAAAAAGAGATGGATTTATAAATGAATACAGAAGAAGAAGAATCAGAAGGCAGAATTTAACATGGGGGAGCAGAGAGAGTAAAAAGTATAAGAGAAAAAAGAGAGAGAGAGAAAAGAAAGGAATGGAGAGACATGGAGTATAGAAGGTTGGAGATATAGAAACAGAAGAGTAAGGGTTGAGAATGGAGGAAGGAAAAAATGAGAGAGAGCGATAAAAATAAAGTGAAGGAACAGACAAGAAGACAGGATGAGAGAAAGAGGCAAAAAGAAAACTGAACAAAGAGATGTAGGGGGAATTTCTTCTGCCTTGGATTCTGACAATGGAAATTACATCTAAACAGCACAGAATTCAAGCATTCCAAAGTCATTTAGGTGTTTAAATCAGAAGTTTGGGAAAGATCTTCTACACTTGCAAAATGTCTCCCTCACTGGCTATAAAAATTCTTCAACTGCCAACATTAGGAATATTTTTTTCTTTGATGAAAAACATTGTTCTACTCTGGTTAATCAGAGCAACAGTCTAATATAGTGCCTTATTCACGGTAAGTTTGAAGAGTCCAATTGTTGAATGAGAGTGCATGTGCTTCTAAGGACAAATGTCTCTCCAAAGAGTTACTTATCTAGCCCCTGACGTTGGCCTGTGCAGGAATTGTTCAAATGAGTCATGGCCTCTGAAGCAATAGGAAGGCACCTGAATTTGAAAATGATAGAGTTAAGAAGGGTCATAAAATGGGAAAAGATGTAGGAAGCTAGGATCAGGGTAAAGTCTTTACATCTTGCTGAATGCATAGTTACCCTCCTGCTTCCGACTTTGAGCTTTGGTAGGCTGCTGATGCACTGGCATTTGGCTGTCAGGTAAAAATCATCCAGTTCACCTTCCAAATAGAGTCTGAGCACAGTCACTGCATTTAGCTACTGGGTGCTAGAATATTGAACTATTCATGTGCGGACAAGCGTCTCTCCTGAGTGTCCTGTTTAGTTTCCCTCCTTGGTAAATAGCGTCTATTTCCTGTTTCTCATAAGCAGTTGAATGATTATTTTCTCTCTTGTTCTTAATGTGTTCTATGTTGCTGCTACTGGTTTTTCTGCCATATAGAATTTTGCCAGTAATTTCTATATTCTATATTCCACATCCCTGTCCAATGAATTAACACACAGAGTCCAGCAAAGAAATTGATATGAATCATTTTATTCTGTGTGTAAACAAATGGAAATTCCTCTGGCTTCTCTTTGGGACTAGGAACCTTGCATATGTCTTCTCATTTCATCTTTACATTAAACTTATGGGGTATAATTGCATGTTGTTTAAAAGTCCTCTTCTTTCTGAGATTCATGAAGGTTAAGAAACCTGTCATGGGCAAAAATGCCATAATCAAACTGTGATTATTAGCCAAGTCTACCTTTTTCCCAAATTTATGACTTTTTCTCTCGTCTCACATTGCCTCCAAAGTAGGAGTAGAGCAGAGAGAGAGAGGGAGACAGGGAGAGAAGGAAGAATGGGGGAGGAGAGAGAGAGCAAGAGAGAATTTCTCACTACTCTGGTAGCACTAGAAAAAAGTTTGAGCATAACATACTTTTAACACTGTGTTTACTGATCAATCTCAATGTGTATGTTAGAGTGAGGATGCCTTTAAGAAACTGTGATGAGGTCTATGCAATTAGATTTAAAAATTGGAATATTTGATTTGAAATTTGCTACTGATTTGTCTTTGGCTAAATTTTTGCTCTAGGCTAGAAGCCCATTGAATGAGTTAGAGCTCGCTCTAACTCTCTGCCTTTGCTTTTTTTTTCTGCTCTAGAAGTTTCTTTTTTTATTGTAAAGATGTAGGGGACAATTCAGGATTAGGTATACAAGTGGTCATTGTACTTTTTGTGGGCCTCCCTTTGGTCCCCACTTTGCCTGGTTTGAGATCAGGTATCCTTATTGGTGAAGTGTGCCCCTCCCCTACCCCATCAGTTTCCCACTACTGCCAATCCTTCTCTTATAGTGTTATGATAATTGTTCAGGGTTCACATATGAGTGAGAACATATTGAAAGAAAGGATGATATTGAAATTTTCTAGGGGGTTCAGTGGAGTCTCCTTTATGATTTGTGAGTCATGCTTCTAATGAGATAGTGACCTAATGTCCCTACTTGTTACATAGGAATTAGCTCTACTGAGGGATTGCTTTGTTTTGTTGTATGCAAAGTGCAAGTTGGGGAAGGATGCACATATTTTGTTGTATCCTAGTACCCAGATAATCCAGGACAATCTTCCTATTTTAAAGGCAGCTGAAGCTGGGCTCGGTGGCTCAGCCTGTAATCCCGCGCCTTTGGGAGGCTGAGGTGAGTGGATTGCCTGAGCCTGTGGGTTCGAGACCCGCCTGGGCAGCGAGACCTCATCTCTACATAAATTAAAAAAATCAGCCAGATGTGGTAGCGCATGCCTGTAATTCTGGCTACTTGGAAGGCTGAGGCGGAAGGATCGCCGGAGCTCAGCCGATCGAGGCTGCGGTGGCTGGAAGCAGCCACTGCACTCCAGTCTGGGCGACAGAGTGAGACTCCAACTCAAAAAAAAATAAATAAATAAAATAAAATAAAAAATAAAGGCAGCTGATTAGCAACTATAATTCCATTTGCAGTCTTAATTTCCTCTTGTCATGCATCATAACATATTTATAGATTCTGGAGAATAGGATGAGACATCTTTGGGGGTCATTATTCTGCTCACCATGACTGACTAGCAGTTGTGTTTTCAAATGACAAGAAAGAGAAACGAAAACTTGGGATATAGCTAGAATCTTACTTTTGATAATGGCCCTCACAGTTTGTTATGAAATGAGTGTTATTATGTTGCCCAGGGAAGAAAGGCTGGTTGGATTGAGAAAGAATTAGAAAATGTATAGTCTGAATAAAATTTAAGATGATGTTGAACTGACACTTAAACGGCTATGTATTGATACATAAATTTGCCAAAAATATTTTGTGGTAGCCAATCTGGTTTTTGCCTTCTCAACATGACATGGGATAAAAAGACCCACAACCACCAAAAGGAATAATTCAAAATGACATTACATGGAAATGTGTCTTCCAGGGAAGTTGGAGCAGAGAAGTCAGCAAAGATGAAAAGGGAAAGGGAGGGCAAGAATGAGATTGAAAGGGCCTGCAGAGTCATATTAAGGTTGTTGCATTTGTCTAAAGTTCAGTGGAAATTCTTTGATATTTTTTAGACAGGAGAAGTTGTATTACAATGTAGGTTAAAGAAAAAAAAAACCCTTTTTGACTGCAGTAGAGAAAATGGGTTGATACAATTCAGAATTTCTTAGGAACTTTCTACTTAATTGAAACAAAAATGTATGCGTATTAGGCCAGATGCCATGGCTCATGCTTGTAATCCCAGTGATTTGGGAGTCCAAGACAGGAGGATCATTTGAGAGTGGGAGTTCAAGATCAGCCTGGCAACATAGTGAGACTCCTGTCTCTTCAAAAAATGAAAAGTTTAGCTGGGATGGTGGCATGCACCTGTAGTTCCAGCTGCATGGGAGGCTGAGGCAGGGGGATCACTTAAATCCAGGAATTTGAGGCTGAGGTGAGCCATTGTTTCACTGCACTCCAGCCTGGGAAACAGAGCAAGATTCTATCTCTAAAAAAAGTGAAAATAAAAAGTATGCATATTAATGATTATTCTTTAGGGGACATAATACTATTCTTTGCATCCTTTTATTTGAAAAGGCCATCTCTCATCTAAAATATAACAATGTTGTGCTGAAGTCAGATCTTCTAATTTGACATACCACAGAAACTCCTTGGGCAATAACTTGGCTGAATCACCTTTTCCCGTGATCTTGTCTTCAGTGCCACAGGTGTAAGAATTCTCTTTTTTCAGTGAACCAGAAAATGCTGACTCTCATTAACATTTACCTCATAGATAGGTTTTCTGGTTTCCTTATGTACCAACCTACAAAGAAAAATATGAAAAACAAGTTGTTTTCCACTTTCTGAAATAAAATGTCTTTCTAATATGACTGCTAAAATGATTATTTCAGAGTCCCTAATAGTTTCAACCATTCTTCATCCTCATCAGAATGAAGAGGAGCATGAGACCTGAGAACCTGAGCAGCGTGTCTGAGTTCTTCCTCCTGGGCCTCCCCATCCGGCCAGAGCAGCAGGGAATATTCTTCGCCCTGTTCCTGGGCATGTACCTAACCACGGTGCTAGGGAACCTCCTCATCCTCTTGCTCATCAGACTGGACTCTCACCTCCACACCCCCATGTACTTTTTCCTCAGCCACTTGGCCCTCACTGACATCTCTTTTTCATCTGTCACTGTCCCTAAGATGTTGGTGGAAATGCAGACGAAGTACAAATTGATCCCCTATGTGGAGTGCATTTCTCAGATGTATTTTTTCATATTTTTTACTGACCTGGACAGCTTTCTTATTATGTCGATGGCATATGACCGATATGTTGCCATATGTCACCCTCTCCGCTATGCCACCATCATGAAGGAAGAGCTCTGTACCTTATTAGTGGCTGTATCCTGGATTCTATCTTGTGCCAGTTCCCTCTCCCACACCCTTCTCCTGACTCGGCTGTCCTTTTGTGCTGCGAATGCCATCTCCCACTTCTTCTGTGACCTCGCTGCCCTGCTCAAGCTGTCCTGCTCAGATATTTTCTTTAATGAGCTGGTCATGTTCACAGTAGGGGTGGTGGTCATTACCCTGCCATTCATATGTATCCTGGTATCTTATGGCTACGTTGCAGCCACCATCCTAAAGATCCCTTCAATCAAAGGAATCTGCAAAGCACTGTCCACGTGTGGCTCTCATCTTTCTGTGGTGGCTCTGTATTATGGGACAATATTTGGGCAGTACCTTTTCCCAACATTAAGCAATTCTGTTGACAAGGACATCATTGTGGCTCTCATGTACACAGTGGTCACACCTATGTTGAATCCCTTTATCTATAGCCTTAGGAACAGGGACATGAAAGAAGCCCTTAGGAAGTTCTTCAGTAGAGCAACATTTTCTCACAGTAATATTTGACTTTTAAAAATCAGAATTTCATTTTGATTGATCTCATGTATTTGATTTTCCATTTGAATATGACTCAAAACCTGTATATCCTCAAACCCTAACCCAAATGATGTCATGTTGGATATAATAGGCAAATATTTGTTGACCAGAATTTCATTCTCTTATTAACAATGGTCTTTATACATGACTTTTGATCAGCAAATGCTGAATTAATTTTATTACTGATTTCTGCAACTTGGGAAGGGACATAAATAATACAACAATATACAGTCAGTTTTGTTATCCCTTTTCTTAGGAACTTTTTGGAAACATATGTTTCTGGCCCATGATCCCTGGCCTTAACACAACACAGAATTTAAAGAATTAGCTACTTTATTTTACTACTCTCTCTCTCATACAGATTAAATGTGTTTTCCTCTTGCATTTGTGTGTCTAATGAAATAAGAAAAGCTAAACTACTTGACACTTAAGTAAGAGGAAAACATACTACTCTCTGTCCTTAGTGTAAAATATTGCAACAACAATAAAAATTGAGGGCCATGTAGGCGATCAAGACTTATCCAGAGATTCCCACCTGCTAATGCTGTGTAGTTGATATTGCTTAGCTCTAATATTCAATCATTAATGAAAGAGAGCTTCATGATGGCCTCCTTTGAAACATAACCAAATTCGAGTGCTAACTCTCTGAAAGCATCATGTTCTCCTACACATGCCACTCCAGATTCAGTATTGACTTCACGAACATCTTGATTTTCCAACTGAAGAATGAAAAAGCATTGCTTCTCAAACTTTAGCATACATAAGAATTCCTGGAGAGCTTGTTAAAATACAAATTCCTAGAATCTGCTACCACAAATTCTGATTCAGTAGTTCCGCTTTTCTAACAGGTTTCCACATGATGCTGATGCTGCTGAACTGTGAACTAACTCTTGGAAATTGTGGGGGGCACATTTATGATACCTTACATGAATTCTGGTAGTAGATAGAGTAAAACAAGAGACAGCTCAAGCTACTTTGGTAATAGATAATTCAGTGATTTTTGTTGATATTTTCAGATTAATTCTGGCTGCAGTACATTTCATTCTTTATAATATATGAGGTTCTCTCCTGAGCTATCAGATTTTCTTTTCTCTTTTATATATAATATAGAAATATCAGCTACTACATATTATGCTTTATATCATCACACCAAACTGCATGTTTAAAAAAAATGAAGCCAAAGCTTTGAGAAAATGTATATTCCATGACCTTCTGTGGCTTCTTGTTTCCCTCAAGGTTTGTAGAATTTCAGTGTGACTTTCAATTTTGCTGATGTCATTCAAAATACTCTTATTTTCCTTGAAGGATTGAGGTATGTTCACATGTTCTATAATCACTCTAAAAATATATTTTCATATTTTTGACTAAATGAAACAATTATTACACACATTATGCACATTAAATTGTACACTGGTTATAAAGAACTAGATGATTTCAGAAAAGCTGTAACCCCTCCAAGTGACTTGAGTTCTTGTCAGGACATTGAACAATTTATGTTAAATGATGTTATTCATTTGTAAAAGGCCTCAATTAACTTGCCATGTTTTTTGACATAGCCCAGAATATAGCATTTGTTTTGAATCCAATCTATATTATTATTATTTTTACCCCAGTCTTTATATCCCTTCTTGTTTTTCTTGCATCTCCCTTGTGCAAAATGCAATATGTTTACCCAATTTTATACATAAAGATAAGACTAATTAGTATATAACCAGTAGCTGGAATGACATTGAAGGCTGCAGTGATGGCTTAAATTGGAGTCTGTTGGAGGTATGAGGATAGAAATTCTCATGCAGTTTGAGGAAATTTTATTTTATTTTATTCTGAGTTGGAGTCTCACTCTGTCACCCAGACTGGAGTGCAGTGGCCGCTCCCGGCCACCGCAGCCTCGACCTGCTGGGCTCCGGTGATCCTTCCGCCTCAACCTTCCAAGTAGCTGGAACTACAGGCGCGCGCTACCACGCCCGGCTCATTTTGATTTATTGTGGGATGAGGTCTCGCCAAGTTGCCCAGGCAGGTCTTGAACCCACGGGCTCTGGCAATTCACTCACCTCAGCCTCCCAAAGTGCGGGATTACAGGCTGAGCCACCGAGCCCGGCTGAGGAAATTTTAAATGGAGCTTTATTTATAAAATAAATTCCATTTATATACACATATACATGTTTATGAATAAAAACCATTTTAGTAGAATCAGAAACAAATCATGAACAGGCGATGTACTATGACTTTCTCCTTTGTTTTCATGTCTTTATTGTTTGGATTACCATCATTAAGAGGAATTAATTTTATAAGCAGCAAATAAAAGAATTTCATTTGGGAAAATTTTTTTTATCTATATCTCAAACTAACACCTAAGTACGGGAAATTTGAAAGTGGCAGGTGAGGTCTTTTCCTGTCTCCTTTTGAGCTTATATTCACAGGAAAAGCACCCTGACACTCTTCCTAAGGACAGAATTTCCTCAAAGTCTGCCCTTGGAACCACTTGCCTCAGAATTACCTGGTCCCGGATCTCTAGAGGTGGAGCTGGGATCTGAATGTTTAACAAGCTCCCCAGGTGATCCTGATGAACATCAAAGTTTACAGACCACTGCCCTAGGGCATCTGTTCAGGAGAGAGTAAGAGGAAAACAGAGCAATTAATGCATGTCTCTAACCGAGAGCTTGGTGCCCTGTCCCCTTGAATTCTCTCCATGGGGGGTGGAGTAGAGTTTTCACATCTCCATTTCTGAAGATGTTACATTGAGAAGAGAAAGCCACAGGCTCATGACTCCTCTCTCTGATATCAGTTAGAGATTTAGGACCACAGAGGCTGTAGGTTATCCCTGATCTCTGGGTCTCCAACAGAAAGGTTGAGAAACAAGTTCATACTCCTGGGAGCTGAATAACTTGAACACAGTGTTCAGAGCAGGACTGGGTAGCAGGTGTGTGTGTGTGTGTGTGTGTGTGTGTGTGTGTGTGTGTGTGTGTGTGTGTGTGTACAGGTGGCTCATCATTTCTCTGTGATCTTACTAAAGTAAAATCTTATTCCCAGTTCTTAAAGATAGGATACAACAATCACCACCAACCAGTGACTCTCATGCCTTTAAGCCCAAGCCTTGGGGAGGTAAGGAAGAGCGCCAGCTGGCTACATAAATTAATGGGCACATCCTCAAATCCAGGCTGGGGCCCATTTCATCATTCATGTACAAGGTATCAGAATGTGTGCTTACTTTGTTCATGCAGTGTTAACCTACCCTCTCTAATGTTTCTCTCCAAAGTCCCTGATTATTCTCTTCCCCTTTAGACAGCACTGTTGCTTTTTCCTGATGGTATGTTTAAAGGACACTTCTAGCAAGAGAGCTTTTGTTCCTTTCTTCTTTTATGTAGCTCCCATATCGCAGCTCCTTATTAGAATCTGCTTGATGATTTCATGCCTGCAGTCCCTGTACCTTCACTGTAACCATCAAATGTTGGGCCCAGGAGAAATCTACTACCATAATTACACTTACCTGAGTTGCACTGAAGAGACAACACTGAATTTCTTTCCTAGAGATCTTTGCACTTTATATTTAAGGAAACAACAATTTAATGGAAACAATTCATATAGGACACATTCTATAGGTAAAGTGTTTTATATTACATTATCCTATGTAATTCTTACGATAATTTGGGAACTATGATTCCAATTTTCGAGCGAAAAAGCTGAGATTCCAAGAGGTCCAATATCTTGTGCAAAGACATATAGCTGACAAATGGTGGAGAGGTGATTTGAACCCCTTCTATGTGACTTCAAAGCCCATGCTTTGTCTTCTATAGCACACAACCTCACTGTCAAGGAAATATCAGTTATCAGCAAGCAGTGGTTAAAGTATTCATGAACAGAAGACTGAATGTGGTGGAGTGAGAGTTTGTATATATTTTTTTCTTACATAGAGCTTATACAGATAGAAATCGGCATGGATAAATTGGATCCAGAGACTTTAATTAAAATCCTAAATTCCATGGGTGAGATAAGTTTACAAGTTCGGAAAGGAGCTATCTTATTGATATAGCATGGGAAAAACCAGAAGAGGATGATGAAAGAGAGGGAAAAGTCCAGAACAGAGAGTTATCTGAGCCATCATTCTGTAGGATGTGATCGAACTCTGCCTGTATGTTCAAATTCATTATTTCTGTCTCTGGCCTTTGCCTGCATCAGGATGAAGTGACTTTGTGGCACCTGAACTCTGCTAGTATACACCTGTTGAAAGGAGTAGGCAGTCAGGAGAGAGAAATAAAGGAACCCCATGAAATGAGGGGTGAGAAATCAATATTAATTGGTGCCAATTATCTCCAGTGGTTTTTCACAAATGTTGTCTTATTAATATACACAGCATTGTCATGACTTAGGCTCATAGTCTCATCTCCAATTTAGAGACAGGAAAACTGAAGCTCAAGAAAACTGGGTCACTTGCGCAGAACTCACAAATATGAAGTGATGTTGCGAGGATTTGAATCTATTTCTAATTGTAATGCCTCTCCCAATATGACACACTGTTCACAGACACTGACTATTCTTAAGGTCACAGCCCTAAGGAGCCTCAAAATGCTAGAGTGAGCAGGGGCAGACTGGAAACCTGGGCCAGCATTCTTGCCCGTTTTCTTTACTAGCCTGTTCAGAGCTCTGTTATGTTGGCTGTTTTTTGGTAAGTTTAAAAGGGAGGATGGTCAGCCCACGTGGAATAAGAGTATATTCAATTCACCAGCTTAAAGAAGCAAAAGATTTTAAGTGATCGTTAACTTGTAAAGTTTTTCTGATTTTTTCTTTCAATTAGGAACTGCTATAATGAAATCCTAACACCATTCATTTACTTACTATATGTAGGCATGTATAGTAGGCATTTTTATTTAAAAAGAACTTTTTAAAATTAAGACATTAGTGAGATCATAAACTCTTTCCTACTTGTCTTGCAGGATTGGTAACTTGGGCTTTAGAATAATTTAATGAGTAGATAGTGACTGTTAGGGAAGAATGCAAATAAATTTTGTAAGATATTTGACACTGATGACCAGGAGGACATGGATATAGCTGGAACTTTGACAGGGCTGATTAGCAGGTGCTGTAGTTCAAGATGCCAGGATCCCAAATGAGGAAGCCACAAAAGGGGAAGGGGCATATCAACCACCCCTCTCTTGATAAAAACTCTAATGAGTCGTGGATTTTCATGGTGTCATGAGAGCTCCCTCAACTGGGAAGATATTAGACAATGATCTAAAAGAGCCTGACAACATGATTACTGGTGGTAAATATATAACTGTGGATATATTCACTTTTTCGACAATTCTAATTTTCTGTTGCTTTTTATTAATTTTCTTTTACAATTTCCTAACTACAATTCACAATACAACGTTGAATAGAAATAGCACAGGTATATTTTATCATCCATGATTTCAATGGAAATGCTTTTAAAATGTTATTATTAAGTATGATATTTGCTGTATTATTTAGTTTTGTGAGAGTCTTAGTTTGGGCTGCTATAACTGTGTGGCTTTAAACAGCATACATTTATTTGTCACAGTACTAGAGACTTGGAAGACCAAGCTCAAGATCACAGCAGATTTGGTGTCTGGTGAGGGTCCTCTTCCTGGTTGGCAGAAAGCAGCTTTCTTTCTGTGTTCTCACATGGCAATGTCTGAGAGAGGTTATTTCTCTTGTATCTCTTCTTATAAGGGCACTAATTCTATTCATGAGGGCTCCACTCTCATGACCTAATTATCACCCTTTTGATGTAAAATTTTAAAGTATCTTTGATGGAAATTACTTTTTAAAATTTTTTTGAGACAGAGTCTCACTCTGTTGCCCAGACTGGAGTGCAGTGGCATGATCATGGCTCATCATAGCCTTGATCTCCTCAGCTCAGTCAATCCTCCCTCCTCAGCCTCCTGAGTAGCTGGGACTACAGGTGCATGCCACCACACCTGGCTAATTTTTAAATTTTTTTAAAAGACAAGATCTCGCTATGTTGCCTAGCCTGGTCTCAAACTCCTGGGCTCATGCAATTCTCTTGCTTTGGCCTCCCAAAGTGCTGGGATTACAGTAATGAGCCTCCATGACTGACCTAAAATTACTTTTTTACAGCAATGATATCAAAATCAACAAATATGTTTCTTATCCAATCAACTTTATGCATAATGGAAACTTTGAATATTTATTTTTTATCCAATTTTCTTTGGGTATATGTCATTGAAATTTCATCTTTATACTTTGCTTATTAATGGATTTTGAAACCAATTAAAAAAACATTATGTTACAACTTGAAGGCTTGTGATTAGCTTGGTGACTGTAAAAGTATAGATATAGAAAAGAAATTGGGAAGACATTAACTTACTATCCTTTTGCTAAAATAGTGTGAGGCTTTCTCTTTCCTGACTAGACATAACTGGTTTACTGAGTTATAACTTTGTCTGGGTTGCCTCTCCCCTAGAAAGTGAAAATGCCAGTGGAGCCAACTTCTCTTCTATATCAGACATGCTTCTCTGTTGGCAAATTCTCTCGTTTTGCATAATAATACCATCCACTTTAAATTATTTTTTGTAGGGTTATGGCAATGCATACAGATATTGCCATGTTCGTCACACAAAGTAAATCTCATTTTTATCTGCCTGCAGTAAATCAACATTTGTTTGCTACTGATTTTTTTCTTTCTTTTTTTTTACTTTAGAAGTATTGACATATGATGCTTTATTTAATGATGTTTACACCTGAATTGGGTTCCTATACCTGCTGTCCAGAAAAACCCAAACTGACACAGCCGTTACAATGGAGAAAGAGTTTAATATTGCAAAGCAGCTAAATAAGGAGGGTGGGAGAAATCACTCAAATCTGCCTCCCTGAGAATTCAAAATATAAGGTTTTTAAAGGGAAATTGGTGGACAGAGGGATAGGGCTGTTGATTGGTTGATGATGTCTTTGTGGGGGAGTGTTGAGATTGTTTTCCTGGTGATCCTGTGCTCAGTAGAGGACTTCCTGGTGCTCTGGGCTTAGGTAGGAGGTCAGTCCACAAGAATACAAAGAGTAAAAAAGATCCCAGATACCATTCTTAGGTTTTATGATAAATGCAATTATGCTGACCAGCAGGTAGCTGGCTCTGAGCTACTATGGAGGCAGTCCAGGAGGAAGGTAGTGGGAGGTGAGGTCCCTGGAGATTGAAGCCACTTTTGTCTTTCAATGGCTTCTTGTCTATTCTAGCAGGTTCAGGTCCATTGGTTAAGAAAGCATGTGTCGTCAGCCTTGTTTCTCCCGCAGGGGTCAATAAATGAAGGTAATTTTATATAGGCAATTTCAATGATCTATATTTGTGTTGTAATTTTAAATATACATTTATTTTTTAAATTTTAAAATATTTTATTGTGATGCTCTTGCTTTTTCAATGTCTCTCAATTCCCAGCAGAGAGAATAGCAGCATGAGGAGGGAGAACCTGACCAGTGTGTCCGAATTCCTCCTCCTAGGGCTCCCCATCTGGCCAGAACAGCAGGACGTTTTCTTTGTCCTGTTCTTGGGTGTGTACCTGACCACAGTGCTGGGGAACCTGCTCATCATCCTGCTCATCCGGCTGGACTCCTGCCTCCATACCCCCATGTACTTCTTCCTCAGCCACCTGGCCCTCACTGATATCTCTTTTTCATCTGTCACTGTCCCTAAGATGCTGTTGACCATTCAGACCCAGAACCTATCCATCGCCTATGCAGAGTGCATAGCACAGATGTATTTTTTCATATTTTTCACTGATCTGGACAATTTTCTTCTCACTTCAATGGCATATGATCGGTACGTGGCCATCTGTCATCCCCTCCACTACACCACTATCATGAGAGAGGGGCTGTGCACCTTACTAGTATCTGTGTCGTGGATCCTCTCCTGTTTCAGTGCCCTGTCTCACACTATCCTCCTGGCCCAGCTATCTTTTTGTGCTGACAATAGCATCCCCCATTTCTTTTGTGAACTTGCTGCCCTACTGAAGCTCTCGTGCTCAGACATCTCTCTCAATGAACTGGTTGTTTTCACAGTGGGAGTGGCAGTCATTACCATACCACTAATATGCATCTTGATCTCTTATGGTTGCATTGGGGCCACTATGCTAAAGGTTCCATCTACCAAGGGGATCTGCAAAGCCTTGTCCACCTGTGGCTCCCACCTCTCTGTGGTATCTCTGTATTATGGTACAATTATCGGACTGTATTTTTTCCCTTCATCCAATACCTCCAGTGACAAGGATATAATTGCCTCTATAATGTACACAGTGGTCACCCCATTGTTGAATCCCTTCATTTATAGCCTAAGGAATAGGGAAATAAAGAAGGCTCTGGGGAGACTCTTTAACAGGACAATAATCTCATCTGAATGACAATAGTCTCTTCTTTACAATAGACACATGTATTTACCTTTCACCAGATGTTAGACTTCTAGTCTTGAGCCCAGCATGGAATAAGTGCCCAGTAAATATGTAATAGTTTGAATTTCATTCTGTTACAGTCATTCTCATTTTCTTTAGTGTAATTGTGAATTCTGAATTGGCATAATTGGTTATGCCTCTTTCCTATTAGAGTAGGAAATCAAATAGCTAGTAGAACTTAAGTCTCTCCTGCTATTTCCTAAAAATTTATTTGTTCTTATGAATTGTTGAAATGTGTTGGTGAAGAGGGCTCTCTTGGCATAGAAAGGCTGCAGAATTGGAAATTTGTACACTATTTCTTTTCCTTTCCTCACTTCCCATTCAGTTCTGTTCTCACATTTTTTCTTGTTCTTGGTGATGATGGTCTATCAGGAGAAGAAAGTACACAGTACTTTTTTATAACTCCAGAAAACTATCTACTGTTATAAGTTCAGTTGCCCCACTTAAGGACTTGGGGTTTCTTCTTGATTTGAGGAACATTGATCACCTTTCTAGACTATAGTAAACTTCATGCAGTAGTTCACTTTCAGACAGTTGTCTATGAAGCTTTCTGACTACATATGTTTCAGTAAAGACACAGATTCAATCCAGGTAAGAAATGAGAAGGACAAAAAAATGCATCCGTAGTCTGAAATCTTCTGTTGCCTCCACTGAATTTGGTCCCTTTCTCATTCAGGTTCTTCATTGTCTGTCTCCCTGAAAATCATTTCTACTCAGCTTAGTGAACCCAGATTTGTATTATGAACCCAAGTAATCTATCATTTTCTTCTATCTTCTGTCTTCTTTGGCATCCAGTGAAGGGTCACAGTCTTTTTCTTCAGGCTTGTACTTAGGATAAACAGAATTACAAATGCGTGTGAGACAGCACCGTGTAGCTGCAAAAGAAGAGTACTTGGGAAAGGCAGATCTCAATTGTAAGCTGTATCTACCAGAGTGGTGGTGGTGTGGCTTAAACAATTCACCTAACTCTTCTGAATCTCAATTTCTTCTTCTGTATAAATGAAAAAAAATTAAAACACCTATTTTTATCTGAGGTGAATGCAGTAATAAATTTGGTTTAACATTACAATTGGCCAAAAATTATTAATGCAATTTTCCCTACCTTCTTCATCAGAGATTAATTTTGAAGAAGAATTTATGTAGACACTCCTCAGTTATGGTGATTATGGGCAGCATGGTATGTTGGTTATATTCCCAATTCAAAGGCAATCAGCTGTCCTAAAACACAACATCACATCTACTCTGACTTAAGCTAAAAGCAAACAACTAAAGGGCAATGAATGAGTGAATTGATGTGTGGCAAGTAAGGAAAGTCATATCAGAGGAGTACCTTACTTATTACTTATCTAATATTCACTCAAAGAGTGGTCCTTGACTTGAAACTGATGAAGCTGCCTTGTAGCATTCCAGGGATTTTCATAGAAGAACAAAGAGTGTCTCCCCAACCCTTTGCCTGAGTAAGTTGCAGTCATGAACCACTTTGTTCACAGGCTCAGCCCCAACCTGTTCCAGAGTCAGACCTAAATAAGTATGAAACCTTTCTTGCTGGTTGGAATAAAGCATGCCTTAGTTATCTTGGACACACCCAGGAACTTCCATACACTCTCACCTCTGCTGTGGTGATGCTGTCTATAGGACTGAGTACCTGGCTCAATTTTCCTGCCTACACTCCAGTTCTGTTGTTTAAATCCCTGAAGGTCTCTCTAGTCTTATTGAGCCTGCCCTCCAACGAGATCATTCATATCTCTAGCTGTGGTCTGGTGACACTGCTCTGGATGGATTTTTCTCAAAAAATGGTGAACCCACTTGTATGTCGGGACGTGTTTTGTCACTATCTGTCCTGCTAGTCCACCTGATATAATTTGAATGTTTGTTCTTCCCAAATCTCATGCTGAAATGTGATTCCCAATGTTGAAGGGGGTCTAGTGGGAGGTGTTTGGGCCATGGGGGCAGATCCCTCATGAATGACTTGCTGCCCTCCCCATGGTAATGAGTGTGTTTTTATTCTATTAATCAATGTGAGTTGGTTGTTTATATATATACTTCATTTTAGAGTTGTGGGGTACAAGTGAGAATTCACTACATAATTAAGTTGTATGCGGGTGAAGTTTGGACTTCTAGCTGATCCACTCTCTCCCTGATAGTGAACCTGGTACCCAGTGTGTTTCCATGTGCCTCTCTCCCTTCCTCCCCTAGCAATGTTCAGCATCTGCTGATTCCACCCTTGTGTGTGAGGCCTGGTTGTTTACCAGAGCCTGGAAGTTCCTCCTCTCTCTCTTGCTTACTCTCTCACTATGAGACATGGTGACTCCCCTTCTCCTTCTGCCATAAGTGAAAGCTTACTGAAGCCCTCACCAGAGGCAAATTCTGACACTATGGTTCTTGTACAGTCTGCAGAACTATGAGCCAAACTAAACCTTTTGTTTGTATAAATTACCAAGCCTCAGGTATTTTCTTTGTAGTAATGCAAAATAGACTAATATACCACCCTATTTCCGAGATTGGTTTTCCTTTGTTTTGGACAACCCAAAGCACACTGGTATACACTATATTGATTTGGATATGCATATAAAACTGGAAAGCACATTGGAAGTATGCACTTGTATTTGGGGCACTTCCTTTCAATCATGCCAGGGCTAAGTTTCATGAACTTTCCAAGTGAAGTATCTCAGTGGTTTAGAACAAAATTTGCTCCATTTTTAGAAACCAAGGAAGAGTACTGTGTTCACAAGTTTACAAATATTTCTCTAGGCTGGTATTCATTGATATTTCAAGTGACCAGTTTATATCTTTCTCAAAAGTTAACATTAATTTTCTTCAAAGTCAGACAATAGAACGACCTTTCTCAGGGGAGAGGAATCATAACATAGAGCCAGGAGCTCCAGCACTTGCATTTTAGCGTGGGTTTATCCTTGACTTTTGGCTCTGCAAACTGGTATTTAACAATCTTAAGGAAGTGAGGAAAAAGTTATAGTTACACACACACATGCACACACATGACAGAAATTTTAAGAGTCAACAAAAACTATTCTGTGTTGCTACAGATGGAAAGTGGAGGTGGGGATCTATTAAAAATTAAATTTTGCCGGGCTCGGTGGCTCAGCCTGTAATCCCGCACCTTTGGGAGGCTGAGGTGAGTGGATTGCCTGAGCCCGCGGGTTCGAGACCCGCCTGGGTAGCGAGACCTCAACTCTACAATAAATAAAAAAATCAGCCGGGCATGGTAGCGCATGCCTGTAATTCCGGCTACTTGGAAGGCTGAGGCGGAAGGATCGCTGGAGCCCAGCAAGTGAGGCTGTGGTGGCTGGGAGCGGCCACTGCACTCCAGTCTGGGCGACAGAGTGAGACTCCAACTCAAAAAAAAAAAAAAAAAATAAATAAATAATAAATTTGGCTTGGTGCAATGGCTCAAACTTGTAATCCCAGCACTTTGGGAGTCTGAGATGAGAGGATTGCCTGAGCCCAGCCTGGGCAACTTGGTGAGACTTTGTCTCCACAATTAATCCCAAAACTAGCTGGGCATGGTAGCGCATGCCTGTAGTTCCAGCTACTTGGAAGGCTGAGCCAGAAGGATAGCCTGAGCCCAGCAGGTTGAGGCTGCAGTGGCCTTGAGCGTGCCACTACACTCCAGCCTGGGCAACAGAGTAAGACTCTGACTCAAAAAAAAAAATTAAATTCACTTAGTTTTTGAAGAAAATACCCCCTACAAATGTGTTTATTATTAACCTTGAACCCAAGAAGGTTTTTTGATGGGAGAAGTTATAAAGGAAATCAAGAGATAACTCAATCAAGAGAGAAAATTTAATTTGTCATTAAGGATAAAAAATTGCACCAGAAAAATAGAGACGCTTTCCTTATCTTACAGATTGTGTTGCTTGGTAGCCATTTAACAAGTTACCACTTCATGCCAGACAGTGTACTTATTCCTGGTCCTACAGAGCTGAATAAAGTCACAACCTCCATGCTAAATAAAGTCACATTCTGGTAGTGGTGAGACAGGTAAACTAAAAAATATGTACTAGTACAAAAAAGTGCCTTAATATAATACTATGAATAATTTTGCTTATTATGCATAGTTACTGTGTGTCAGGCATTGTGTTAAAAGCTTTACATTTTTTAACTCTTTTACTTATTTTATTTCCATAGTAGTTTTTCTAAAATGATGTATATTTAAAATTAGAGACAAGGTTTCACTCTGTTGCCCCGGCTGGTCTCAAACTCCTGGGCTCAAGCAATCTTCTCGCCCCGGCCTCCCAATGTGCTGGGATTACAGGCGTGAGCCACTGTGTCTGGCCTAAACTAAAGTCTTTACATTTTTAATCCTCATAATGATCTTATAAAGCATATGCTGTTATTATCTGTATTTTGCAGTTGAGGAAACTGAGGCTTAGAGATGATGCTACAGGTATATGGTAGTAGCACAACAGAGTCTATAGTTAATGTTGCTTGGATATCAGCAAAAGCTTTATGGGGAAAATAATTCTTTTTAAAAAAAATTTTATTTTAAAGATGTGGGATACAAGTCAGGGTTAAGTATACAAATGTTCATGATGCCAGTACCCTTGTTGATGAGGTGTACCCCTCCCTCCTCTGGCAGTTTCCCTCAACTGCAAATCCCACCCCACCCCAGCAGTTTCCCACTACTGCCAATCCTTTCTTATAGTATTATGATATTTGTTCAAGGTCCACTTATGAGTGAGAACATGTGGTACTCTGCTCTTTGTTTCTGTGATAGATCACTGAGTATATTCTTCAGTTGAATGCTGAAGGATGCTCAAGATGAATACATAATGGTACAAATGACAGCCTAGACATTGGAGACAGAGGGAGTCAGAATAGTGAAATAAAATGGTAAATTCAGTGAACTTTACTACAGAACAGGTGTGTATGAGTCAAGGGAGCATCAAGAATGAATCAAGATAGGCAGACAAGGACCGTATTGTGAAGGAGCAACTAGGACGTCCTACTAAGGAGTCTAGACATTGCCTTACAATTGACAGATGCCATCAGCTGGGGTTGGGATTGACTAGGAAATAAACCTGAGGACGGTTTCTGTTTGTGTTTTAGAAAGATTACTCAGTTCACTAATGTGCAAGATGGTATGGAATGCATTGGAGAGCCTGGAATCAGGGAACTTAACTAGAAGATCATGTACATCCAGGCAATAGATAATGTGTACCTGAGTGAAGACACTGGCATGAGAATGAGAAGAGAAACCATTGAAAGTACACTAGACAGGAGTTGGTAAATGATGGAAAGTAGAAGGTAGAATTAAGGACTGTTCTTGATTTCTGGCTCCCAATTTTTAAGGAACTGAATAGCAGGCTAGCCATCTTGGATAATTTCTATTAGGTTTAACAATCTCAAAGAAGTGAGAGAAGAAGTTGATGATCACCTACTTTTAAAAAAATGGATTATGAGCAAAATTAAAGCAAATACTCTAAAGAAGTAAGGGGTCCCAGGAAACTTTTTATCACCTGCCTCTGATCCCAATTCAAAACACATCCTGCTCATATTACCCTACCACAGTGCAAAGATTTATAAACAATCCCTAATTCATTGTGAATTATTTTAATGCCAACATCAATTAAATGATTCTCATTTGTACTCTCCAACTGCTGCATCCTGGGACAATTTGATTCTATGAAAGATGCTCAAAAATTTACTGAAAAAGTACAAGAATCATAAAACATTTTTGGATAGGCTGGATTGGTGAAGCAAACAGTTATGGGAAGGAGAACTTAGGCAGGCTACATGGACACTTGGTCATAGCAGATGCAAAGGATCAAAATTTTATATGGCCTTTATTTTTATAAATAATATTTTAATATTTCTAAGTTTCTTGGAGACAGATAAAACCTCGTATGCCTTTATTTATTTATTTATCTTTAAGATTTTCATGTGCCTTTAAACATCATCTTTTTTTTCGTCTCTGCAAGTAATTTAAGTTGATGATGCCCCTTTTTGATCTGGAGGCAAATCTACAGACAAATAAGGAAAGAGAGTTACAGTGTTCTTTTCACCTAATAGTCACAAAAAGGATGCTGGTATAGAACATTTTTGACCAGTAGGAGGCAGAGGCTGCGCAAGAAGTTCTAGCACCCTTCCTGGTGAAACCCTGGCAAACTATGAGTCTGGCAACCGGTGTGGAAATCTAAACACTGAATTTCAGTCTTCTGATGGGTATCTTGTTACCTATTCTGCATTTTCTGAAATGTAACCTCCATCCTTTCTTTTGTCTTAACTTTCACTTAGTGTTATAAACAAGATAGATGCCCCCAAATTTTAAATGGTTGACAAATGGTTAATCTAAAATGAAAGTGTCGTGCAAGTAAGGACTTTATATTGTTCAGTGTCATATCCCTAGCCCTTATAATAACTCCCAGAACACAACAGATGTCCAGTAAATATATGTTGAATAAATGAATCTCAGAGAAAAGATTTTTTGACGTCTAAGTTGGGAAGCGATGAAGAATGACAATAGTAATATTATAGTTATTATTTATCGAACACTTACTATTATTCACTGCTATACTGGATGTATTTCATAGTTCATTTCATTTCATTCAACAAATCACCTTATTAGACAGAAACTATTATCTCCATTTTATAGATGAGAAAAGTAAGGCTCAAAAAGGTTAGGTAATTGAAATACAATCTTACAGCTAGTGTGTGGCAGACCCCAAACTGAACTCAGTTTCTCTGGCTCCAAGCCTATGTCTTTTCATTAAATGTTGCTGCTGTCACGTCTAAGAGGAAAACACTCTCCTGTGACTGAGGAGTCTTTTTAAGGCTGCCTTCATGTCTTTGTTTCTTAGGCTGTAGATAAAGGGGTTTAACATAGGAGTCACTATGGTGTACATTGCAGCTGCTGCAATGTCCTTCTCTTCAGAGGCAACAGAGGGAGGGCATAGGTAGGCACTGAAGAGGGTCCCATAGAATACACAAACAACGCAGAGATGGGAGCTGCAGGTGGAAAAGGCCTTGCTCCTCCCACCAGGGCTTCAGACCTTCAGGATAGCAGATACAATGTGAACATAGGAGATGACAATGCATATAAAAGGGGTGATGAGTACTGTACCTCCTAAGGCAAAAACCATCAACTCATTGATGTGGGCGTCAGAACATGACAGCTTCAGGACAGGAGTGATGTCACAGAAAAAGTGAGCAATTTCCCCAACCACACAGAAAGATAGCCGAGTCATGAGGAGGGTGTGAGTCAGGGCAACAATGTTGGTGAGGATCCAGCACAACACAAGCAGCAAGGCACAGACTTGGGGGCTCATGACCGTGGAATAGTAGAGGGGATGGCAAATGGCCACATAGCGGTCATAAGCCATAACAGCCAGGAAGAAGCTGTCCAGATCACCAAACATCAGAAAGAAATACATTTGTATGAGACAACCAATATAGGAGATGGTATGATGCCCAGTCTGTACATTCACCAGCATCTTGGTAACTGTGGAGGATGTTAAACCTATGTCAACAAAAGACAGATTGGCTAAAAAAAAGTACATGGGGGTATGGAGGTGTGGGTCAGAGCCAATAGTTAGGATGATAAGCACATTCCCAGTCAAGGTGACAAGATACATACACAAGAAAATTCCAAAGAGTAACTGCTGTTGCTCTGGCGACTCAGATATTCCTCGGAGGAAAAATTCAGAGATGCAGGATTGGTTTTCCATGACTCTGCAGCATCTGAAGACAGGAGAGGATAGTTAGAATGCTAGATTTCTTCTAAAACTGCTCACTCCCAAATTTTCCAACTCCCAAATCTCCTTTTCAATTACTACACACAATCCTGACTTTGCCTTCAATCTGACCCTACTTGCTTCCTTTATCTCTTTCTCAGGAATCTCACCCCCACCTTTCCTCTCTCTTTATCTCTATTCAATCTTTTATGCAGAGAATACCCTTCCAACAAGGTCTGGGCATGTTCACTCCTGGTATTACCATGACTTGGACTAGATCTACAGCTTCATGTCAATTTCATCATTGCAGTAGACAGTGGTGAGCTAAATCTTATATTCTTTTGGGAGGTAGCTTCAAACCCACACAAGATTCTTCATTTTAAAAGGCTTCACAATATCTCATTTGAGAGTGAAGGGCATATGAAGGACTTGTGTTCCTTTATTTTCTCCTGAAGAAAAAAATTACGAAGTCTTGTATTTCTCCCTTCATTTGAGTCATTGACAGCGGCATTATCATCATTTTGGCACTAACATTTATTTGATATTAGCCACTTGTTATACTTCAGGCAACTGTTAAGCACTTTACACAGATGGTTTACTTTAATTCTCAAGCAACACTAGGATGCAGAAATTATTATTCTTACCCTTGCATAAGAAAACTGAGGCTAGGGGTGTCTGAGTAATTTGCACAAGAACCCACAGCTCCTAAATATTTGAGACGAATTCAAACCCATACCTTTGAACTTCAGAGACGGCACCATCAATCGATATAAACAGAAAGTAATTTTCTATCATCACATTTATATTCAGTCATGTAGTTTTACTAATTTAACATCTTTAGTTTCCCTTGTTCTTGCTATATTGTATGCTTGTCTTTTGTAGAAAAACAATGGAATTTAAGGGACTGAACAGAACCTAAAAGATCATCTTTCCAGAGGTCCCCAAGCATTGGTCTACAGATCAGTTTATCATAATCAAGTGAGATGCTTCTTAAAAATATAGAATCTTTGTCCCCACCTCAGACCGATTGAATTTAAATTCTTTAATATACCGGCTGAGTGTCTGCATTTAAAAATTAAAACTGAACTGCTCTTAAGTATTTTTTTTTTTGAGTTGGAGTCTCACTCTGTCACCCAAACTGGAGTGCAGTGGCCGCTCCCGGCCACTGCAGCCTCAACCTGCTGGACTCTGGCAATCCTTCCATCCCAACTTTCCAAATAGCTGGAACTACAGGCATGCGCTACCACACCTGGCTGATTTTTTGATTTATCGTAGAGATGAGGTCTCACCAAGTTGCCCAGGCGGGTCTTGAACCCGCGGGCTCAGGCAATTCACTCACCTTGGCCTCCCAAAGCGCGGGATTACAGGCTGAGACACCAAGCTCGGCAATATTTTGATGTTCAATTAGGATTAAGAAAAGTTCATTTGGTCCAATCCTCCCCTTTAATTCACAGATAAATAAAAAGATAAGGTACAAAAACCAGAGTACCCAAGCTTTCAGACTAGTGCCCTTTTTAAAAGTCAGCTATCTTTTCATTTTTAAATTATTCTTTATTATCAATATCTTACAAATCTAAATATGACCCTTTTCCTGATTTTTACTTTGAGTGTATACCTAAAGAATAAGTGTCTTCTAAATCAATAGATTTACTGAAGTATGTTTTTATATCTTGAATTTAATACTTCAAATCTTAGTCAAATGGATATCTCAAAACTATTGTATGTTTATCTATCCCCAAACCCTACACTAACTGAAGAATGCATCTCAAAGTTATGCAAATTTTTCTAAGAAATTAGAAAGTCGCAGTCAAATTATTTTCTCCCCTATTCTAGCTCTCAGTGGGGAATATGATGCTTCACAAAGATTAGACTCTTCTGACAGGGGGTATTCTAATAGCCACATCTGGAAATCAAGAAACTCTGAATTTAGAGTCCATCATACTCAGTGATCTATCACAGAAACAAAGAACTGAATACCACAGGTTCTCATTCATAAGTGGATCCTGTGCATTTATCATAATACTACAAGAAAGGGATTTGCAATAGTGGGAAATTGCCAGGAGAGTGGAGGTGGGGGGACATATCACTAAGTGTACCTGATCTTAAACCAGGCAATGTGAGGACCGTTGGGAGACCCAAACCTCTCCTATATGTATCCCACTTATGTACCTAATCCTGACTTGTACCTCATATCTTAAAGAAAAAGACAACTGATAGCGTGTCTTGTTAAGATGAGGATGATACAGATTGGCAGACAACTCCATGCTTCCCTAAAATGCAGATCTTACCTTCAACAAATAAATCTTCATTCCCATTGGAACTTTGAGAGGAACTGCAAGTTATTTTAGGGAAAAAACAGCATTTCTTTCATTATCTGTGCTAGTATATAATGCCTTGATCAGGCTATTCCTATTGAGGTCTCTCTATGGCACCAATTAACACCAGAAAATTCCTCAAATTATCAAAAAAAAGAGGTCCAAATCTCTCCATTGTAAGCCTAACTTTTAACTTTCTGTCCTTTTTTTTTCTACTCAAGCTCCTTGTGCTAGTATCTCTTGTCCCATCCTTTGTTTTTTTCCCTTTCTCTAAAAGGCTTTCTCATCCTTCATCCTATCTATGATTTAAGAAAACTCAGTAGAAAGCTGAGATGTCAATAAGCTTCTTCTAGAAAGTTGGGGCAACCCTTACCTCTGCCACCCCAGGGTGACACTTCACTTACCTCCACTGCCTCTTCATCTACTGTGTCAGCCAATAGGTAAGAACTGGCTTGAACATGATGGAGACAGTATTCCAAAGGTAGACCCTGCTGGCTTGCAACTGTCTCAAGTTTCTCTGCTTACTGCTATCCTGGTTACTGAGAGGAAGGCAATGCAGGCGTCTTTAATTTGGTGTGGGAAGAGAGGAGCTCAGATTCTTCCTAACAATCTTTGTGGTGACATGAACTAAAGTAAGGGTTAAGGATCAAGAATAATAAATACAAATGGCAAACAGCCAGAAGTAGAAGTCGAACTGCTAAACTGAGAACATAATTTGTGGGGAGAGAGAGACTAGGATTCCAGATAAGGAACCCATAAGATTAACAAAGGACTGCAAAGCCAAGTCAAGGCCAGATTTGAAAGGGAAGCTGGAACAATCATAGCTACCTTAGTCAGCTGGAACAGGGAAGACCTATAAGAAGAGGTTGTGTACTGAACATCTGAGAGAACCTGGGACACATGGTACTCTTATCTCACCTAAACAAGATCTTCAGGAATGCTAGGTATTTTATATTTATATTTTGAAACCTGAACTGATAGATTCAGAAACAGGGAGCTCTTGGCTCATCAGATGACTACCAGGACGAGGCTGAAGTGCTCCACTTGGGACATTTACAGATACGGGGAGTCATGGGACAGAGTTCCCTAGAGTCTTATTAGTGTTGACACTTATAATTGTCCAATTTTCTCTCTGCATCTCTTATAACACACAAAATTAGTACGGTGGTAGTTTTATTCAAAAATTGGGAAGATTTACTTCCTTTTTCTTTCTTTTTTTTTTGAGTCAGAGTCTCACCCTGTTGCCCAGACTGGAGTACAATGGCATACTCACGGTCACCCCAGCATTGATCTGCTGGGCTCAGGCAATCCTTCTGCCTTAGCCTTCCAAGTAGCCGGAACTACAGGTGCGGGCTGCTATGCCTGGCTAATTTTTTGATATATTGTAGAGACAAGATCTCACCAAGTTTCCCTGGCTGGTCTTGACCCCCTGAACTCAGGCAATCCATTCACTTAGGCCTCCCAAAGTGCTGGAATTAAAGGCTTGAGCTACTGCGCCTGGTTTTTTTCTATATTAATTGATAGTATTATTTTTAATATTTTTTTAAATTTTAGGTTGAGAGGGTACACATGTATGTTCGTTACATGGATATATTATATAGTAATAAGGATTGGGTCTCAGGTGGCCCATTCCCAAGATAGTGAACATTGTGCTTTGTAGGAAGTTTCTGAACCCTTACCCCCCCCCCCCCAGTTGGTGTCTCCAGTGTCTATTATTTCCATCTTTGGGACAGTTTTGCTTCCACATATGAGAACATGCAGTGTTTGGGTTTCTGTTTTTGAGTCAGTTCACTTTGAATGATGATCTCCAGCTCCATCCATGTTGCTGCAAAGAGCATGATTTCATTCTTTTTTATGGCTGTGTATATTCCATGGGGTATATATACTACATTTTCATTTTCCACTGATCACTTGATGGGCATTTGGGTCGATTCCACATCTTTGCAATTATGAATTGTGCTGCGACAAACATGTGGGTGTAGATGTCTTTGTTATACAACAACCTCTGTTCCCTTGGGCAGATACCTAGTAGTGGGATTGCTGGACAAATGGTAGATCTACTTTTAGTTCTTTGAGTAATCTCCATACTACTTTTCATAGAGGTTGTGCCAATTTATGCTTCCACCGAGAGTGTATAAGTTTTCCCTTTTCAAAAAAACAAACAACCCCTTTACAAAGTGGGCAAAAGATATGAACAGACACTTCTCAAAAGAAGACATATGAGCGGCCGACAGACACATGATGAAATGTTCAACCTCACTAGTCATCAAGGAGATGCAAATTAAAACTACACTGAGATACCACCTAACTCCAGTCAGAATGGCCATTACTAATAACTCAAAAAATAACAGATGCTGGAGAGGATGTGGTGAAAAGGGAACACTTCTACATTGTTGGTGAGAGTGTAAACTAGTGCAACCTCTGTGGAAATCAGTGTGGCGATTCCTAAAACCTCTAAAAATTGACCTTCCATATGACCCTGCAACCCCCCTACTGGGAATATACCCTGAAGAACTCAAATCACTCTCTAAAAAAGATATCTGCACATGTATGTTTATTGCAGCATTGTTCACAATAGCAAGATCATGGAACCAACCATGCTGTCCATCAAAAGAGGACTAGATTTTAAAAATTGGTACATATACTCAATGGAATATTACGCAGTCATAAAAAAGAACA